TCATAAGCTGGGCAGATCGATTCGTCAGCCCAATCCTCTTCATTATACGGGATTTCTCGTGGAATTATAAAACCACCAGAAATCGCAACAACCGAACTGGTGATTACGACACGTTTGACAGTCCCAGCTGCAACACAAGCTTTAAGTACATTCAGTGTACCATCTACTGCTGGCTTTATAATCTCGTTCTCATCTCTTGGGTCTTCTAAAGGAAGTGGCGAAGCTGTGTGATACACATAGTCACATCCCTTAACTGCTTCTATCCACGATTCCTCGTTAAGTAAATCAGCTTCAACTAGTTCCAGTGGATACTTTGCATCTGGTACCAGTTTCATCAGTGGGGCACTCTTGGACTCATTCTTCAGACTACGTACAGTACCCCGTACTTTAACTTTACCTCCAACGAGCAACTGTTGAACAAGATGAGTTGCTACATAACCAGAGGCTCCAGTAACAAGAACTTGGGGTGGTGAAGAAGCCTCTTCCAAAGCCGACATATTGAATCATATAGGTAGCCACACCTATTAAAATTACAATTCAGCATAACTTAACTGTTTATGCTTAGATCTATTTTTTAATTTTAAATTTATTTTATTATAACAACAGTCCTTGTTTCCTTAATATCTGTCTTGTTTCTGTTGCTGCTTCTTTGTTGCTGAATTTTGCAAACTTCACTAATTCATTCCAGTTGCTGTCAATGGGTGCAACCAATGTTGGCCTACGAGGGAGGTGTTGCAACTGCTGTGTCTTAAAATGGACACCAGTTGCAGCCCTAGACCAATGTATCTTTAACTATTGCACTAGTTTATAACTGTAGTATTACTTTTTTGTATGCTGTACCGGTGGATCTGGTGGTATCTTAGGTTTTTGCTGGACTTTATGCTGTGCCAATGTTGATGGAAAAGGGACAGAAGTACTTTTTGTTTGTTTAAGTTGTGATAACATCATTCGCTCATTAATCCATTGCTTTCTTGTTGCTTCTTCAGATTTGATTGCATCGGCAAGTCTTTTCCTTAGTCTGCCAATCTCTTCCTCCTACAAAATAGAATTCTCATATCAATACAGTCTACACTATTGATTAG